ATAACAACCAGACTAGTAGAAAACAAATTACACAGGCATCTGCTCGAAACCAACCGACAAACACCAGTATCTCCTCCCAACCAGCTGTCATCCAAAACACTGCATTATGAACATTCCATATAACCAGGCACTGAGGATACGCAGAATTTGCTCCGACGATGAAAGATTCCTAGAAAGGTCTGAAGAGCTTGCTAAGCATTTAATTTACCGAGGCTACGACAAAGACCTGATTGCGGAGGCAATCCAAAGCGCCAAACAAACAAACCGTGATGACCTACTCAAATATGGACATAAAGAAAGGCTGATAGGATACCATTTGTTCTGACCTATCACCCATACAACCCCTAAGTAGGTAAACTCATCGTAAAACACTGGCCCACCGTGCAATCGTCGGACATACTAGACAATATACTTCCGAACAAACCCGTAATAGTTTACCGGAGACCAAAAACCTAAAGGACACCCTAGTCAAGGCAAAGCTAACGCCAATCACTAGTCAAAACCAACCTAGTCAATATGGACCCTGTGGCGATAAAAGATGCAAAACCGGTCAACATATGATAGAGACCAGGACATTGACTAGCACAGTGACTAAAGAAAAACTAAACATACATGGTCCAACGTGCAAAACATAGAATGCGATTTATCTCATCACATGTAAGATCTGTGGCCTTCAGTACGTCGGAGAAACTGAAAGGCTACACAAAAGGATAAACCTTCATAGATCTGATTGGATGACAAAAAAGCTGTACAGAATCTCAGTCGCAGAACACTTCTCCTCCCCTGGCCACACTTTCAGTGATATATCACTTATAGCTATTGCCAACAACCACAGCTGTAGTTCCGAAACCAGGATGGAAAAGGAATCATACTGGATACGCCGCCTTATAACATTGAAACCAAGCGGTCCAAACCAAGAAGACTTAAACAAGAATACTATGCACTAGTAGAATTTAACATTTTCTAAATCTTCTTAGTATCCGTCAAATTTTATTATAAGAATAACCGGTATAGAATAAAATACCCGGGATATAATCTGCGTTACATAAATGTACAAAAAAGTAAAAATATATGTCGCTTTGACTTGTAGACTTGTAGGGAATTATACAGTTTTCAATATCCGCAACAAGTCTATACAAGCTGGTTTTATTTATAGTTTTAACTCATGTGAAGACAGAGGTTTACAAACACAACGTTTTTGTGTTTATTTGTTTTTCTTATATATGTTTTGTTTTTGCCTTTGAAAAAGACTCATTAAGAGTCCAAATATATATATATATATATATATATATATATATATATATATATATATATATATATATATATATATATATATATATATACGACTCTTTACTCTATACAGAAATATTTATTTCGTTGCATATGTAGACTATGCAGCTAATATGCAAATCATACCAAAGAGATACATAAATATTTATAACAGATGCCATGCTTTTCGCGTTTAAGAAGCTGCTGGGGTCAAATGGACATGTCGACATGTTTTAAAACAAATTATATTGAGCAAACAAGGGAAAGGTAGCAATAACGTTCTACACATATATGTACAAACTAACCTGTACAAAGATACAACGTTATTTGGGACCGTTGGTTGATCGGTAGTTGAGCGTGTTCGCTTAAATGATAGTGCTACGCATATTTGATCACGCATATTTTAAGTGCTTACATTCCATAACCGACCTTTGAGCTACCGTAGATTAAATGGCATTGCTCCAGATTTACGGTCCATTGGATCGTTATCAGCTTGGACCGCAGAAGCTAGCTCCTTGGAGACCTCGCTTGGAAAGGCACTCGGGTTCTTCTGTATATGCATGTTATAGGTACTAATAAATTTATATGTTGTTAAAACAAACAGCAAACCAATATCAACTAATGCTACTAAAATCCATTTCGTGATACTTTCTTCAAATTGACAATGTGCCCCATAACTCTCACTAGAGATTTTCGTATTTGAGACATCTCAATTGCAAACTTGGAGATCATGACACTTATAATCATACAGAAACTAGTTTGTTTTCAAGTTACATTGAGCTAGTTTTAACATGGCATGCTTTGCTTGATGAGTATATTTGACAGCTAGATCAAAACAATTAATCAAATGCATAATCTGGGGTGAAAATGAACGGCAGGTTTAGTTTACCTTTTTTACGTTAGAATTAACTTAAATAGCATTAACTGAATTACGAGATAGATGTCTACCCGAACAGTTGACTCAGGCTTTACTTGTTTCTGTAATTCAGGATTTGTTTTATTTTGTTTTCTTTCCAATCTCAGGAAATAGAGTCACTTTATGCCATCTTATCAAATATCAATATTTGCGAAAATATGCATTTCTCATGTTTAAACTGAATATCATTTATTAAAGGGTCACTTTATATAGTTAAGTTGTTCACTTTATATAGTTATGTTGGTAAAAAAATAATCGTAACATAAGGGAACGTTCTCAGTCATGTCTTTTAATAAGTTGTTATAATTGTCTCCCATGCTAATGCTTATCTACTTTAATATTGTTTCAAGCAAGGCGCTTGAAATGAATCATTTTTCTTTTAATTCAATTTCTACATATTTACAGTGCCTGCCTTATTTATTTTCACAAATTCAAGCCATTCAGGCTTCATAAAAATAAAAGTTATTACAATATCAGGTCTCTTTTTCCCTTCCCTATTTATTGTATTTAAAATTAACTTTATAATGCTTCTTTGTACTAAAACTCAGTTTAGAGAGTTTCCTGACTTGAAAACCTGTTAATAATCAAAAGTGATATTTTATATGTAAAAAGGATAATTAAAATCGTATCTAACTTTTTTCTAATTTAAAGATTGTATATTTAAAACCATATTTACTGAATTGTGACGTAGAAACATTGGATTTTTCTGCATTATGTTGGTACTTTTATTAATCGTCAACCAAGTTTATAGGAACAACAAGCAACAGCGTGTTTATCTGTAACTGGAAACCATAAAGACAATATGTACCAAATTAAAACAGCACAGTGTATGTAGACTTGATGGGAGGTCGACACGAATGCATTCTGATTGATTGAAAGAAGACAAATATAAAAATAGAGATACGGTGAAAGGAATATATATATATATATATATATATATATATATATATATATATATATATATATATATATATATATATATATATATATATATATAATTTATGGACACACAGAGATCAATAGTTGAAAGGTTTTTTTATGAAAATAAATGTCATGATATCAAATATTTGAGTTAAAGGGATGCAAACTTTAGATGTACAAATCTATGTAAGATCTACTGAGACAGTGATATATTCTTTCCCATTCTTCCATGGGCACATTAATATTTGTATATACTTATTTCTTACTTCCTTTCGGACACATTAAATATTTTACTTTTATACAAATACTTTTCAGCAAGTAACATAATGTCACCTGCTTAGAAACAGTTAACAAGACAAAATAATTTTTACATTGCACAAATTGGTAGTGTGTGAAGAATATCCAATATTACACGAACTAGTTTAACATGGTTGCCTTTACTACACTGTTGTGTGTTTTCATCAACCAATATAATGCCTTGTTTTCCTGGTAATTGCTGTATTGGCCGATCCCAAATTTTAATACCACGCCTTCACTAGACCCAAGAGTGACATTAAAAGATCTTTATTTCGACATCAAGGAGACACGTCATAATCGGTAATTGCTGAATACTGATTGTGTTTTAAAGGTGAAGACAAACTCATCTTATTAGTATAATAATAACTCCAATTAATTTTATATGCGGTCAGGAAAATGGTCTCTTTGTCATATTGTAATATCATCAGTTTGAACCGGTTTTCCTGTCCAAACAAAGATAGCAGACACAAACTCGTCCGATCGTTAGACCAGCAAAGCTGCGTATCAATTCATAATTGCATTTTATCAAGATGATAATCGTCCGATGGTTAGACCAGCAAAGCTGACTTACAATTAATAATTGTTTGTTATCTGAAAAATAATATTCCGCTATGTGCCTCCACATATTGTTAGTGAACAAATGTGAGAAGATTCAAGACAGCCCCGTATCACTCGTAGACACAAGGTAGCTTTCTGGTAAAGAGGCAATTTGGATAAACTGCTTTGCCCAATGTCACAGCATGGTAGCTGACACATGCGTCCCTTCAATCCTCAGTCAGGAATGCTAACCACTTAGGTAAAACAACAAACAACAAACCAAATCTCAGGAAGGATTGTTGCATCTTTTTAATTAAACTGTACCAGGTTTATCGCATTGCTTCACTCAATGACCAAGAAATTTAAATATACATTCCTGTTGTATTTGAGTCACTATATTATGTTATTATATCGCCTCAATCGTTATTGTTCGCAAAAGTCAATTCTCACAGTTGATGTTTACACTGTCCTTATAATTGAAATATTCTATCATATTACCTGGGTGACAGAATAACAACATTCACATTACCTAGTAAGCACGTAGTAGTCACCAGTCTACGGCTTCCATGTATATATATATATATATATATATATATATATATATATATATATATATATATATATATATATATATATATATATATATATATAGGCATACAGACACATGTTATAAAACACTGGCAGAAGTCAAGCATACATATGAAAAATTAGTAATATAATGCAGCAGCTACATCGTTTTATCCATCGTAACGCAATATTATCAGAACAAAATTAACTCGAGCTGCAATCTGCAAGCAAAGATTTGTTAATATGAATTATTTCAAACATGCAGTACATTCCGTTGGGTCTAGAACAAGTTAACAGTTATGGTTTCTAACCTAAACACATATCAATGAGAAATGATGATTATTATACAAAAATCTCTCCAAAGTTCTTGTTACCGGGAGTGGGGACAGGGATAATAAGGTTGTCTGGAGGTTGTTGTTACTGTAGAACTTAACGCCATATTTTTCATCATTCGATAGGCTATACTTGACGGCCATTATTAATGTTCGAGAACCGCTCTGATGGGCTAGTGGTTAGAGCGTCCGCCTCGGATGCGGGAATTCGTGGATTCGATCCCCATTCGAGTCATACCAAACACTTACAAAAATGGTACTAACAACTGCTTCGTTTGACGCTCAGCATTAAGAGGTTAGTGTTAGGACTGGTCGGCCTGATGTCAGGCTAATGTCGTGCTACATGTCTACGGAATGATGCCCCATTGCTAGACATCACTATAAACTGCCACACTGCAGACATCGTAGCGATATGACTGCAAAATAGTTAAAGCTACGTTAAAATCATAATCACACATAATCACATTAATGGTGGAGGAAGAACCTGGGAAAATCCCTGAAAGAACTACTGGCAAGCTTTCTCACATATCTACATTGGTATAAACCGAGACTCGAACCCACGCAGAGAGAAGTGAGATGGCTGTGATCCGTATTGTGGGGAAGAACAAGTTTGAAACTAATTAATACATATTAGCTACAACATGCCATCATTTTTAGTAGTACGCTATTTTCAAAAGCGTTTGAGATATACGTTTATGTTACGAAAGCATTCTTTCCTCCTGCCTCTGGAATTCAGTGAAAACGGGGCCATATCATTCACAGTTGTGTTCTGAAATATACGAGACAAAAAGGTCAAATGTCCATTACAATGATGATATGACAAAGTAAAATCGAATTACCTATGATCATAAACATGTTGCCGTTTAGAAAGTAATTATAAAACCTATTTGTCCATAACTAAATGATATGATGGAGAATTTTTTAAAAGCTATACCGCTAACAGGGCTACATATTTCACTCTACTTGCTATTAACACAGCAACAACATTCGGCTGTTCAGATTTACTTCCCTCATGTATATGTTTTTGTTTCCTAATTTATTGACAGTTGAAAGACACTCAGTTATTCCCAATCCTATAAAGACTGGCCTATTCATCGGTGTTTCTTTGCTGTGATTCACACTGTCATCAAGGTTTATTTCAGCTAGTAGCGTTTAAGTCCCCTTCACGCACCAGTACAGCGTTAAAACAAAGGATCATGCAAGTTGGTTGACGAAATACGATACATATATCCAGCCTAATCCTAATGGGATATACGTATGAAAATTCTTACAATCCACAACACCAATGTGCAACTTATACGCATATATAAATATTTTACGTTAAACCTGCATATTCCTGAATTTATTGATGTGCGCAAAGAACCCCCCTGAGTGTCAGATTCATATATTGTCCCCGTAGATAATGCAAGGTGTTCAAACAAGCTACTTCAACGATCACACCTAAGAGTATAAATTCCGAGGCATCCTTTTGCTTTTCCCCCTGATCAAAAGCTACCTTCTCTCTGGTAAATTTTTCAGGGATGGATCGTAAACCTAATTCACCCCATATAAAAATAAATCCCAGGAATCAGAAGATTCAAGAGAACGTTTTCATATCAATCAAAGACCTTGACCAAAAACCCGTTTCATTTTTAAAGTAATAAAAAAGCACGACAAAAGGGTAATGTCTGTACTCACTCCTGTGAAGTGTATTTGTTTATAACTCTTAAGACGCTATCTCTTCCAAAAGGCGATAATATTTATATATTGTTTAAGATGATGGAGATAGAAAGGAGTATAAAATAGAAAAACATGTGAAAGCTAAATAGGATCTTAGAGTGCGCAGGTTAAGTTATTGTGTTTAAGAATCCCATACATATATGGACAGTCCCGCAAAAATAAAATCAATAACCTCTCCGTGGCGAGAAGAAAAAAGGTTGCGAACTTTAAAAAGAAGATATATTTTAATTGTTTAAAATACAATAAGAATTTTTTTTAATATTTTAACCTTTCCTATCCAATTGCAAATGAAAACTACGAGATATATTTAGACATCGAATTAATTTAGCTATAAATTGTATCTTTAAAAAACATAGAAAAAGCAACCTAACGATGAACATCATAAATTCTTTTGAGAATGACATACATTGTGCGTGACTATGAATTTAATTGTACATTTAGGTAGCAGCAATTTTCTACTTCAAACATCAAACTATAATATCTGACAATGCTCTGTATGTATGTATATATATATATATATATATATATATATATATATATATATATATATATATATATATATATATATATATATATATATATATATATATATATATATATATATATACACGAACAAAAATGAGATTATATGAACAATACAATGTTAAACTGATTCAGGTTTTATATCTGATAATTGGACAATCTGTTAAACTTAGAATACAAAACCCTCTATATCGTTCTTGATAAATATATTCAAGGTACAGTTCCAAACTCTTTATGCGCTGTCATCTTCGCAGTGAGCGTTTTGGATTCTGAAATATCAAACTAGAGTTTCCTTTCCCACATTAAAGTCGTTTTATCAAGATTGACTTTACCCGGAGGCTAAACGCTGAATAATTATACCTAAAATACTTTGTGCCAATACTTATTCACTAGAACCGGGGGTTTACGTATCGAATAGTGCTAATCTGGTATTTTGTCAACTGTCATTTTGTGTCATTTTAGACCTTCTTTGTGGATACATTTTTTGCCTTCAAAAAAAAAAACAACAACATATTTTCATGACTAACAGTGCAAATAATGTAATTTGCATTGATTTTGAACGTTTTACCCCGTATTGTCGGATCATTAATCAGATAAACTCCTTTCTCTCCTTTCTTGGTGATCACGTCCCGTGACGCGTTGTATACATACTGAGCATTCAAGCTGCCCATTATACTGAAAGCAGGAAAAGAAGAGAATATATTCAGATTCAAATGATGGGGAATATCACCATTTTGCTGCTATTTTTAGTCGTGTTTGCCTTCGCTTTATCTGTTGGTAATTTTTCCTTTCCACTTTATTTATTCTATATTTCATTTAACTAGGTTGCATTTCTATTTTATTTTATTTGCTGTCTGTGTAGTGTTTTCATATGTTTTATATGCATAGTTATATACTAGCTCTTTATTTATTGCTGAAAACATTTTCGTATTCTTTCAATGCCTATATATCTACCTTGATGTCTAAATACCAGAATTAAGTTATGTTATTATATGTATATCACTTTCGTAATTCTTAAGATATCTTGAAAAAAGGAAGAACGTTTCTTTTAGAACACAGTACAGCAACAGCTTAAACAGGGAAAGTATACTCAGCAGTTCAATTGTTCAGAGATCAACAATCGTATTGTCATATCAAGCTCAACAACATATAAACCCAGCACATAATTATAGGTATATCATATATCACAAGTAACAATGTCACATATCTAATCACTCATTAACTCATGCAAAGTACCTCTATCACGCAAACAATATATTTTTCCAAGCGTTGCGGTGTTCTGATTGAAGATGAAGGCTTGTCAATGCAATGCAATCTTTGATAAAAGCCTCTAAACATATATAAACATGATGCCAATAATTTGATGGGTATTTTGCTGCTGCTAATAAACCCGACAAATCCTCGTTTTAACAGTTTGTAACGGAAACTCCTTGATAGATAATTATAAAGGAGATGCTGATAACTGTAGAATATTGATGCCAGTAACAAAAAGCCTTAGGATAATTTTACGTTATGAGCACTAATCAAGTAATCAGGTGTAAGTTATGAATGTGTGCAAATCCTTGAATACATATCTGGCGAAGGTCTTTCTTTTGATAAGGAACTATGTGGTTTGATTGGCATTGAGAAAAAGTATAAACAACCCACTTTGATCTAATAAGGTGCAAACATTTTAGAAAATATACTTGTCACTTAGGATCAGCTATTGTTATAAACTATGAGTGATTTCAATACCAATATGTTCGTGTAATGATCATTCAGATTTGCTAGGATTTATGTTATCTTGTAGAATTTGATATGATTTTAGCTAAATTCTTAAAGTCATCTCCAGAAATCAAATTCTAAGAACTGAAATTACCTAAATGAGATGCCATGTGTCATATATTCATTCATCGTTCATATCATAATGCGGGGTTGAAAACAAGGACATAGCAGATGATTGGAAAAGATTTTACGATATGGAGTGCAAACCCACATATTGGAAGATAAATTGTAGAATGTAAAATTCAGCCACCAGAAGCGTTGTCGGCTCCAATATTTGGTATTTATAGTTGAGTGTTTCTAGACAAGACAGTATTTTATGTGGCTTTTAGACAATGTGTCTAATCGTGTTTGTAATTAATAGTAATTATCATGTAATTATGTAAGATTTACTTTAAGCGTAACGCTCGTGTTCGTCTTATTTTGCAATGTCTTAATTATTCACGTGTCCATAAGAACAAAATATTATGTTGTTTATAAAGCCATACTATTTAAAGTTTACAAGGTCAAACTGGTCTATTTAATTTGGTTTTCAATGCCCGCCTGTATCAACGATGCGTGCTTCATTCTTGTTGATAACAGTTTTTTATGTATATATATATATATATATATATATATATATATATATATATATATATATATATATATATATATATATATATATATATATATATATATATATATATATATATATATATACACAACAAGCAGTCCATTTTAAGATTAACAGTTTCTTTCTCATGTTAATACAGTGAAATTTTGCATGACTTTTTTCTGGTTTGTAAGCAGATAAATATTATAACTAAAGTTGTGATTAGAATAACTACTTTTCACCAGGAGAAGACGTAAGACGCATCGCTGACAGTGCAAATCGGGTAATTTCTTTTCAATTATGTTTTTCTCAGTAGACCTCTTACATCTTGTGACACGATATTCTGAATTAATTCTACCCCAGAGGAGCTACATCGCATCACCGATAGTGCGAATCGAGTATTTATTTTCTTACCTTGATCTATCTGTTCGCTAATCGAACTTACAAGTCTTTGCTTTTTAACACCATCATAAATGCATCACACGCCGACTCTGCTACATATTAAATAAATCTCTTTAACTGCATTTGCGTTTTGTTTACTTCACCTTGACTTTTTCAAATACATAACGCATTTCCTTTCCAGAGGGAGAAAGCTATCGTATAATAAGGAGTTCGTCAATACCCTGGACAATGCAGTACTC